AAGCCTTCCTCCTAATAAAGTTCTAAATTGTGTCGATGAGGATGTAAAACACCTACATTAAAATATATTTTAAAAACCCGTATATCCGTGCCGTGCGTATTGCACGCAGATAAAATATTTTTAATAGTCAGTGTTCTTCGAAATGGGCTTTTATAGTAGGCTACTTCGGAAACGTTACGAGAGTAAATTACAACAAGCTATTTATAACATTATTTATTCTGAAAACCTAACCTATTAGAAGACACTAAAGGTAAAAGACAATAGAAAAAAGGTGTTCTCTTACGTATTTGACAGCCCTGGTCACTTGGTCGACTTATTCCATTGGTTTGTTCGTAAATATTATTGTTACAATAAATGTATGTACGTGTACAATGGTGTCACATAAAAAAACAATTGCCGTGCAGAGAAAGAATAACTGTTGTCCACATAATCTCGAGAAAGAAAGGCAAGGTTTCACAATTATTTCTTTCTGGTCCTATTGGATTTTTCCGCCTGCAATCTGCATTTGCGGAAAGCAATAATGCTGCAAGCATGGTCTCAGTATAGCACACACCAAAAATATTTTCAGTCGGACATTACTATCAAAATATTGTGTTCGTTTGAGTGCCTGGAAAGAGGTAGAGCAATAAAGAGAGTAACTGCTAGTTTTTACTAAGTATACAAGATAAGTGTGGTAAAATTTGCCAATCTGTGTCCGTGGTGCACTGATATAGGCTCTTTAAAATTGCCATCGCTCAGGGAAGAGGAGTGGTCGACTTCCGTGTCAGGAAGTATTGTTTCAATCGACTATCTCCCTTCGTCTACTGGGACACTGGATCCCTCTCAGCTCTGGTCGGCCTTGACAAGAAAGGTCAAAGCAGAATATCTTCTAAATGGTCTATCAAATTGTTACAGTCTTAATTTTAAAATTGTTGAAAATGAAACAAACAAACAAACAAACAAACAAACAAACGTACTTGCCTAAAAGTAGACAAACAAAGCAAAGCGAAAGCACAGAATCAAATGATTTCCTCAATAATTACATTCGCAATTAACACGATTCGACCCCGCAAGAATCCGCAGAAAAAGAATATTTGCCAGTTGGCTAGCATGATTGATCCAAGAGAAAGTTGTCAAGTGTGTTAATTGGTTCCGCCTTGAGATCACTGCCTGTTTTCTTTCTTTTTTCCTTTTTTTGTTTTTTTTTGGGTTTTTTTTGTTTGCCTGTTCCCTGTACGGGTATTGCTGTATCTCCATATTTCAGTCTACATCTGAGGTGTGATGGATATAGGCTCTTCGTCTTCACAGGAAAAGGCGCGAGTTCACATCTCAAGTGAAGAAGTCTATTTATTTTCGTCTTTCTGGTGAGGTGTCATATTCCATTCAGCCAAGATTGGTCCAGGCAGGCAGGGTCGATTTAGTCCGCTTTTAAAATGATCTACATACATATTATTATGTTGATGAGGGCTATGGAGGTTGAGAGGCTAATGAGCTCAGGCTCATTAATTTTATCAAGCATATGTCGGAGACGCAGCGTTCAAGAGGGTGGTCACTTGGGTGTGTCATTGAGCAAAACACTATAACCCTCGTTTCACAGTAAACTAGATTTCTCGCCAGCAATCAATAAAATGCAAGTTTTCCTTCATTCTGTTGTTTTGCTTATTATGTTCGTCAACGCTCACCATCCTCTGAGGTATAGCAGTTAGGCACTTCGCAGCCGTACACAGAAGACATCAGTTCGAATTGATTTTTGATTTTAGAGAAGAAAAACCAATAATTCCATCTCTCGTAATTGACCAAGAAACAATTGAAATCACGGATTCATACAAATCTCTTGGTCTTACAATCGACAACAAATTTACATGGCAGAACCACGTAAACAATATGGTTAAAAAGGTAAATCAGAGGCCGTACTTTCTTAGGAAACTTAGGTCTTTCAATCTGAATCCATCCATCTTTTAAATGTTCTACACCACCACAATAGAAACTTTGATAAATTTTGGTGTCACTTGCTATGGTAGCAATTTGGGAAGGCAGCACATCATAAAAATAACACGTTGATCAAATAGGCATCAAGAACAATTGATATAGACCTAAATAACTTTAAATATCTGCACAAGATAAACGTTCTTAAAAAAGGCGGAAATAATGCTCAGTGACCATAGCCACCCACTGACATCGGAATTTCAACTATCGACCCGCAGTAAACGATACATTTCCAAAAAAGCAAGAATTGACAGATATAGAAATTCATTCGTACCAACTGCAGTGAGGTTACTGAGCACACAGAGCTACAAATGAAACACATAAGAGAGAGAGAGAGAGAGAGAGAGAGAGAGAGA